TTTCGACCCTTGCCAAGTTATTTTCCATTTCTATGGACAGGGACTCTTAAGTAAAACAATTCCAGTTACAAGATTTTGTCACAAGTCCTACATGTTAAGGCATAAAAAGGAAGCACAAAAAGATCGTTTATCTAGCTATTGAAAATTTCAACTGAGATCTACCACAATGACAAAAACATGAGCTGAAGAAGTCAAATTGTTTTAGTTCTCCAAAATTTGAGAGAATGCTAGTTAACAAGCAAGCGTGGACACTCTACTCTCTACTTGTTATTGTCATCATAGTTATTGTTAAAACCAACATCAACACCTTCATCGTCATCATCATGAATGTTATTAAATGATATTTATACAATATTTTAACACCCAGTACATATAATCATTTCACATACCTATCTGTCGTAGAAATATATGAATTGTGTCCTCACTAAGGGTTCCTTTCTCTACAATAAAAAATATGCTTAGTCAACTTTAAATTTAGTTTGTAAGTACATCTGGGCATGGCTTATGCAAACAATTAGCCAGTATGTGAAAAGCAAGGCCTCAGTTGTTTAGGATGTCCAATATTGCACTGTTTGGGGAAAATCTCAGGAAACACATAATTTTTACTGGTGATCAAATATTTTTGACTCTCTGAATTCACAGTACTATTTAAATTGTTGTAAGAGAAAGTAATTAAAAGCGAAATTTTCTCACCACGTAGATAGTCTGCAAGATCTCCTCCATTGCAATACTGTTGGGTCAAGAGTGATCAAGCATTTTAATAAACACAAGAAAGCCAGATATCCTTTTGAAAAATGATGCCACTGCACCTTACAGAGATCTATCGATTATCAGACGGAAATCAGGAGAAAACAATAAAGCTGGAAAAATGTATAAAATAAATTCATGTTCACCAGTATTCAAACCCTTTAAATTCAGTCACACAAACACACAAAGCGTATACACTAGACAATGGCACTCAATTGATACAAACCTCCATGACAAGAAAGACATTGTTGGATGTTTCCTGCAAAAGATTTACCGACGAAGATCATTACTGTATAAAATAATACAGCTGTTATGACATCCATATTTAACTATTATGTAGCGATGCTTGCTAACCTCATTCCCAGGAGAAGAAAAGAGACCCTGGGAATGAAGTTGGGCACTCCCACAGTATTCAATCTCTTCTCATGTCATTGGGATGGGCTAACATTGTCATTCTTACTCATTATGCTCTTTCAATTTCTGAATACACGTTTACAATTTTAATGGGTACAGGGATGTGGCAAGGTATTTCTAAAGGTAGTCCTTTACGTGAGCATTATTGGCTTCCCTGGGCTTCCTTGTCTTATGGATTGATATTTCGTCAATACATGTACAATGTGGCAAAAATAATAATAAACAGAAAACTGAAACTACTGCAATGCAAATAAGTACCTTGTGGGTATTCTGAAGGTAAGAGGGATTTTCTGTATGGGTCTAGCCTTTACTTTCGTATTGTGCAGTTCCAGAAAATTCATATATCCAATTACCCACCCCAAGGAAGGACCAGTAGAAATTCTGAGAGGGTGTGGGATCTTGAAAACCCAAAATTCTAAAGGGAAACTTGTATGAAGGTAAACTGGAATTTCCAGATGGGTGGAGAGGAGGTTTAATTCAAACAAAAACCTTCTGTGGATAGCATATGGATATTTCCTTGCATTATTTTTTTGTGGGTGAGAGGATTATCTGATTCAAATCAATGGAAAAAGGTCAATTCCAAAGTCTACGGACATGTATGCAAGATATGATCAGAATTCACTGGTAACAAATACATTGCAAAGATTTTATTCATCTCTTCGATTTTCTTGTAGATACTGGGAGATCTTCGCAAAACATTACAATATGTGTAAAAAACTTTCTTTATTTACCTGGCAGTCAAAAAGCGACACGACATTTTCGTGATGGAGCTCCTGCAATGAAAGATATAAACTGTTACACGCCAACGGATTACATGACAGGATTTTGTCATCATCTCCATTCGACAGGAAAAAAAAAACATTGCAATTAAACTATAAAGGAGCCTAAGCGACGAACAAAACCTCAGATTAAACGTTCCCTACATTAGATTTTGATCCTCGTTTAAGAAGCTAATTGCCTTGTACATAGCACATGATGACCGCGTGAACGGTTTCCTCTGTTCTTTGTAAATTTCCTTTCCCCTGGGAATAATGTTGTGATCATGCAATATATTACATGGATCATGCAATACGAAAGCTTAAGCCTACGATCGCAGAATTCATTTCTTATTAAATAAAAGCTGGAGGTATTTAGAACTCACCTTTAGAATTTTGATTTCCTTTGCTAGAAGATTTTGAGTCTTGGAAATATTTTTCTTCGCAATCACCTTGATGGCCACCACAAAGTCATCCTTCTGCAAAGGCATAAAATCGAACAAAGAAAATTTCACTTACCGTATAAAACGAAAAAAGGGTATCAAAAGAATACAGAAGATACCTTATCCTTCTTGGCTTACTTGCCTTTGTGTAAAGATCTTAATTTTAATTCTCTCTAATTAAACACTGCGCGTTTATGGATGGTGCAGTAAGCTTATTTACATTTGATGTTGTTCAATGACAAGGTTCAAAGTTACAACATATCGGAAAAGTACAAGCTTTAATACGTATAAATGCTGAATAAATGAAACCTTTGATAAGATTGCTGGATATCCATATCATTTCACATTTAAAAGAACTTCAAATGTCTCGAAACAATGATCTTGACTGTGAATTAAGACTCTTACGTAAGTCAAACAAAAAAAATCGTATCAACATTTTTTTTTTTTGCCCTTTGCAAAATTATGGAGATGAAGGTCACCTTTCTGTGATGTCCTTTGAAAACTACAGCGAAAGCTCCATGCCCTATAAGGTCCTTCTTGTTGTAAACAAATTCACCGACGTTTTCCGCCATTGCAGAGAAGAACTGTTGACTCCAAGAGGAAGGATGTGCGTAGTTTCACTTCGTCGAAGAATGTTCTGGCGAGCGGTTTGCGCGAAAACGAAGCGAATTTTTCGCCAGAGAAGATGGATTTGCGAGGACTTTGCTGTCCTTTAGTCAAGCGATCTAACAACATAACTGTTATCAGTCCTCCATGGCTACATCTTATGCTCTTTCCCTCAAAGAAGACTTCTCAACATCGATGAAGAGCATTTGTTTTGTTTTCGTTGGATGAATACATTTTATTCCACCGCGCAAAACAAAACAAAATTCGAGTGACGTCATTTAACGGGAGGTCACTAAGCTTTCGGGAGGCCGCTTAGCTTCGAGGCCTTTGCCCTTTCGCTCTTTTAGCGTAAAGATGTTGCGAATAATTTAAATTCAGCCTGTGACAAGTTCTTAACTGCGAAGGATAAATGGATTGCGTCTGTGCCAAATGAATAATGTAGCAAATACGAGAGAATCAATAGGAGTGCTATGCTAGCGGAGTGTAGTCTAGGGCGAGCGGGACGAGCCGAGAGCGGTCTGGTGATGAGGGAGTGCTTCTATTTGCTTCGCTCGCGGAATCACGCTTTCGCTCGCTGAATTTTTTTTCTGCCCTCACTGTGAGCCTGTTCGCAGGCTAATATAATAGCAATTTGCTACATCTTATAGTGGTTTTCATTTGAATGTTGAAAAGTATCTGGCATTGCACTTACTATGTCACCAGATTGGTTTAAAAAACTCACACCACTTTTTCATCCAACTAGGAGTAAAGCCATAACCAATCAGGATTCACTCTCATACGTTTTCCTGCTAGAGTGACGTTTTACTGCTAGACTAGAGTGACACTCGATATTATTGAAAACTGCTCTATCAGACATTTGGAGTTAATTTAATAAGAACATCCTTGTCCACTGTAGAAAAACTCATTTGTCAGTTGAAGGAGTATGTCACGGTGATGGTTTAAATATTGCCCACAAGGAAGGGTACATCTGTGATCAGGAAAAAAAATGGGAAGGAAAAGAAAGGAAAGGAAAGATCAAACAAGAAAAGGGATGGTAAGAAGTGATCATGTTTCAACTGTTCAACATCTATAGAAGCTGTCATCAGTTGTTTAATCTCTCAATACATTTTTCAGTTATCAATACATATTTTGGTACTGTGCATAAAAATAATTGGTTAGGTAGAAACCAAATTACATTGGGTTAGCAACACATTCACACTGTCTGAGTAACACAGACCCTTAACAAAAATGGCTGCCAAAAAAATCCTTTTGTATGCATTTAAATTAGCCTCAATAGATTCATTTGAGAGCAAAAATGCTTTTGAGTTATCAGCTCAAAACGAGGTTAGTCAGGCTAATTTTAATATTCAAAAGAATTTATAATTGGCAGCCATTTATGAGAATGGTCTATAACTCACTGTGAACTAGTACAGTCCCTGCGCTCTTTGTTCTCCACCCCCATATGGAACGGAGAAGGGAGAGTTTAGGTAATGGACTGTGATCTGTTCGTGTGACACTAAGAGTAGTAGTTTTTTATTGTTATTATAGATTGCCCCTGAAATTAAGTCTTATTTTAAACCATCTTCCAAATGGCGTAAATTGCCGTAAAGTACGACACGTAATCAGCGGTTTTATGAAATCAGCGGTCAGACCGAACTTATTTTTCCAACGTCTTACTTGAAGAGTATTTCTACTCCTGGAAGAAAATTAGCTGGTGCCTTTGGCTCAGGTACTCATGACATATCTTTGAAGTTCGCGTCTCTTTCGAAATTCAAACTAAAACAAGAACTGTGTGTTTTGTAACGTTATTTATTGGATGGTGTGTTTTGGTGCGAGATTTCTCCAGTAACGGGCCGTCGTTATGACGTCTTTTTCCCGGTGGTAGACCAATGGGAGAGCATGGAAGTGCTCGCAAAAACGGCTTGCCGTCTGCAGTAGAGTCTGGGAGCATGCTACTACGGAACAAAACAAGAACACTCATGCATGTACCCTTCGTTCCCCTTGATCAGCGGTTAGGAAGCGCGCGAGGAAGCCCGAAAATAAAGGACTTCCGGTTTAATTGCGCACGCGTACATGCCAAACCTTTTGGCTCAAGTCGCGCGTGGCTCAATCGCTCTCCTTGGTCTTTGCTTCCGATTTGAAGCAAAGCAATCAAGATCGATTCTGCAACAGAACTATCGAGAGTCGCTCGTTTCGTCAAGCTTGCACAGAAAGGGGCGATGACTCGAGATACGAAATTCAAACAAGAACAGAACAGGCAACTTCTTATGGGAGCAGGCCGAGCAATTCTCTGAATTCTCTCCTAACATTTACCTACGGTCACGCCCTTGATGTATTTGGAGCCGAATCGTTCGTTCATCGCTTGGTAGCTTTTAAAGAACAGCCGAAATAGCGTGCCATTTTGATCATTGGCACATTTTCCTCTACACAGCCAATAAAATAACTGAGAACTTTTAACCTATAGGTTGAAGCTTTTTCATTCCAGTCTCTACATTTTCACCGAGTTTTCTTTACGCCCGGTCGCTTCAGTGAATAAAATCACGTTCCGTTGCAGTTGACATTTCGTTTAAGTGATACAATGTTTTATAAGTGTCATGGATAAATATAAATCCTAAAGATCAGATGGCTGTCATGCAAATAAATATGTTTATCCTTACTCAATACACGCCAGTGACGTCCACTGACCTCGAAAGCTTGGCTGCACATGATCGCAGCGCTTGGCATGACTGATTCCGAGTAAGTATTAATTACGAATAACGAAAAACTGCCATTTTGAATAAAACTATTCTTGATCCACGCTGTAGAAAAAACGTGTTTCAAAAAGAGTCCATTCGTCTTTGCGAAACCATTTGCGTAAATTTTGATGCTAAAAACGAACAAAAGTGAAGCCGATGTTTGAGGTCCTAGTCGAGGAATCAACTGGTAAAAACATCAAAAAACGAAACGTCAATTTATCGTTCGCTTGGATTGTCGCGATGGAATATTTACCGTTTGAGGTTATAGCTTTGATACTTCTGGAATCAAAAACTCAAAAGCCGTAAAAAGAAGTCGTAATATTTTTCGCTCCGACGGTGCATAAATTATCTTTCCTGTTTCTTGATTTTGAGGGTTTGCTTATTTGTTTTATTTACGCAACAGGAAAGATTCCACTTCTTAAGTTAATGCTTCGGTAGTCTCACAGCTTGCAATATTAATGGTTCACTGGTCTTTTAGTATAGCCCAAATGATAAAGAAGTAAAGCAGTAAGAAAAATCTTTCCGTATTTTGATACAGTCAAACTTCTCTCATTGTCCGGTTTATTTCAGCGGTTGTTCTCGCCCTCGCATGCTCCGTTGTGGCCTCACAGGGTGCGGCGCTGGTGCTCTTCTGACGTGGCGGGGAAAACACCCGCCAAATATCACGCCACCTGGCAGGCGTGTCATCCATAGCAAATCTCTCTCAATCCATAGAATTCTTGCGCTCGAAAGCAACATGTTAGTCTCCCGCTTGCTTCGCCCTGTTTCGTGGGCCGTGTACACAATGAACCCGAACTCGGAGTCAACATCTGTAATTCTAAACTGACACTGAGTCGTGGTGAATTTTTTTGACGAGCGATTATCAAACCCCAATGGATCTTAACGTAAACTGGACGGATGTTTATACGACGCACACAACAGGGACACAAGGTTCGGCCTTCCACGAAACTGTGGCCGTAGGGAAGGTCATCGCCTTGTCTCTTATTCTGGCGGTTTCCACGACTGGCAACGTCTTGGTCTGCTACTG